GTAAATAAATGTTTTTTTTTTTTATTGTTTTATTTAAATTTACTGTTGGTTGTTGTGTAGCATCGGGTAAAAATTGACTAAATTCTGAGAGAAGATCTTCATGATTAGTAAATAATTGTGCAACTTTAGCATAAACTTCTGTTTCAGAAAGAAATGTTGTTTGATTATTTCCTCCATTATTCGACGTTGTTAATGAAGCTATTTAATTTAATTACAAAAAAAAAGAAGACAAGTTTTTTTTTCTTCGTAATTTAAAAATAATGAATCAAGCATGCTACTAATTCTTGAAATATCATGTCAAAGATGATCCTTTTCTGTATAGACAATGTAAGTGGCTATTGATTCTCTATATTAATCATTGCTCACGATGGTATATTTCTAAATGTCAAATCGCTCTTGTATGGAAATTATGTGCATCATGTGAGTTCTAATGAGCTGTGAATATACTGGAAAGAGTTCGGGTTGATGGCTTATTGTTATTGGAATACTGTACTTTAACCGTATTTTTTAGCCGGATGCTGTAATCTGCTTCATAAACAATAGAAAAACTGGATGTCAAATTTCTATTTGAAACCTTAGACACAAACAAGTCTTATCGAAAACAGCATATTAAGAAAGTATCAAGTTTTCTTTTGATTACATCTGTTTTGAAATAAGAACATCTGGATTTGCCGTTGTATATCAGTGACACGAAAAACATGTTTTTACCAACTATTCTTATTCAGATATGACTCTATGCAAAATTTCAGATCGAAATTCAGCGTTTCGATTGTTACCAAAGAAAATCACGGCATACTGATAGAAACACAGTTAAAATACAGTATCTGAACAGCAATAAACTATTAGTTCGAACTCTTTTTAGAGTATTCATGGCTCATTAGAACATACATGATGCGTATAGGCATAAATCAAAAGCAATTTTTCACAGTTAGAATGCATGAAATACAAATAAAGATATCAGAAGTAATCAAAGTTCATATTGTCGAAGTGTAATTTCCATTACTTCTAGAATTCGTTGACTCGACTTACTAGAAAAATTTCGAACCCTGATTGAGTCCTAAACTAACCCGACCAGCTCTGATCACTCTAGAGACACATGCTTTGCATTCGATGAATTGTAAAAAACAGTTTCTGATTTTTAGTATACAGGTACTAATTCCTGAGATTTCGATTAGAGTCAATGTGCGACCAAACGCGAGGGCTGCATAGATAGCACTCCGCTAAAGATCAGCTTCACCCTAGTGAAGTTTTAAATCATCCATTTGATAGAGAAAATCTCAATAAAACACTAGGTTAACTATTAGTTTATTTCCAGTATTGAGAAATACCAAATTTCTCCATAATTATTCACAAGTAGCTATCATCAATTTTAAATGCTCTATCAGAAAGTATTGTTAGATTTCATCGAATTTTGGTCGATTTCGAAACCATTCTCTTGTATTCTATTCATAGTATGGATATCTTTAACATGATGTTTCAAAAATTAGCGAAATATCTAATTCATTACTTGCTGGTGATTCTTTCGCATCTTTTTGTTGTTTTTGATATGTATGAAGAATTTCAAGAAATGTTTTATATACATTAGGATTTCTAAAGAATAAAAATATATGAAGTTTTACAAATGACAAAACAAAGAAACTTACTGATGAAATCGATTTTTAATTTTATTGACATAATTTATTGCATGATTAAATTCAACTGGTTGTCCATTAGAATTTGTCGTATTATTATTATTATTATTATTACTCGATATTTGTTGTTTATTTGTTTTTGTTGATAAACTAAAGCCACCTGTTGTACCAAAATATGGAATTTGTGGTGCACTAGCTGCTGATATTAATGCACTAACTGCTTGTGATGTTGGATTAGTTAATTGTTGTTGAACTTCATTTTTAATTTGTACATCTTCATTATCTTCATTTAATAAATTTGATGTTTGCCGTATAGTCGATGAATGATATGTTGTTGATGTTGGTGTTGTTATTGCTAAATTATATGTTGAATTATTATTTCCAATAGCAATAGATTCGGTTCGTGATGATGGATGTGTTACTTGAATATAACACGGATGATCATGGCTAACTTCTATTTTATAACCTGGAGGTAAAAAAGTGTTAAAACCAACAATCAAATCTGGATGACCATGAAAGAGTGTTGATACACGATTGATTACTTCTTGAGTATCAATACTAAAGAACGATAAATAAATTTTCAAAAAAAAAAAAAAAAAACAAAAATTTTCTATTTTGATGAAAAATACCTTTGTGATTTAAACTCTTTCATAATATCCAAAAATTGATTGTATACTTGCGGTTGAAGCGCAAATTGGTTCTTCACTTTATCGAGATAACTAAGTGCATCCTCCACTTTAAGGCGCTAGAAAATAAATAAATAAATACATAACTATTTTCAAAATAATAATTAAATATAACTTACTGATGATGTCGATTGCCCTTGGCTAAATGTTGATGTATTCGTATTATTTGGTGGTACTATACCACTAGATAAATTTGAAAATAGATTTACAGGTGATGAAGTATTTGGTATATTTGAAACAATCGTTGCAGTTGTTGATGGTGATCGTCTTTAAAAAAAAAACAAGAAATGAAATTTAGGTTTCTTTTTCCTTTTGTATTAAATAATATTAAATACTTACGTTATGGAAGGATTTTGAACAAGTGTTGAAACAACGGTATTCAAACCCTAAAATATAATTTTGAATAAGAATATTAATTTTTTTTTTTTTAAAGTTTTATACTAAATTGCCAGAGCTCGGGTTCATAAGATCAAGTTTTTTTTGTTTGCAAAACAACACAAACTTCTCGTTAGCTGATTTCTGTTCAAGGCTTGCCAATCACAGAAAAAAAATCGAATGAATAATATAATCTAAAATTATTAAAAATTTCATGAGATATAAAAAAAAAAAAGAGAGAGAAAAACTCTAGAGAGTTGGTAAAAATGATTCTTACCAATGAGCGCTATGAATAATTTAACATCAACATCGTGCGTAACGACAAGCCATAACTATCCAATAGTAAAGAAATATGTTGCCATTACTCGTTTATATAAGTTGTCCTCCATTATTTTGTCATTGATCAAGAAAATAACAAATAAGATAGAATCACGGATTGCATGAATAGTTTTTTTTTTCTTTTTCCCACTTTCAACTTACAATATTGTTGTGTTCTGTCTCTTGTAGAGACCGTGCCAAATTACAGCTTTTCCTATCTCATTCTTTATATTAATAAGAATTCATCAGCAAACCCTTTTTTCGTGTCAACAAATAGATATGGCAGATATGCACCGACACATGAAAACAAAAGGTCAATGATGTCGCTGTTTTTTGTTTTTTTTTTCCTCTAAGGAATCGTATCTCTTTCTTTCTGTCGTAGAGTAAATCATATCTTACTCATGACTATGATGAAAATAGTAACATTTGTAGTCATAATTTGCCTGACAAAAGTGTTCTTTTTTTTTTCAGTATTAATAGGACATATATACTGACAGTATGTAAAGCATATAATATTTCCCTATATATGTTTATTCTTCGAACCTCGTGGTTATTACTAGTGATTATCTTTGTTTTTTTGTACGCGTTGTCCTTTTCATGTATTTGATACGCGTCAGAAATCGTAAAAAAAAGAGATACAGAAGTGATTATTAACAAGAAAAAAAAAACGAATCAGTCCAAAATGTACTATTGTATTTCAGTGTCGTCAGCTGCGTATTCTCACTTTTGTTTCGTAGTTTGTCCTCGAATGTTTTTTGGTTTAGTGCAAAAGCACGTGTTGAGATTTCTACAATTAACTACTGATGAGAAGAAGCGATGTTTGTTAATGACTTGTTTAAAATATATAAATAATAGTTGTCGCTAACAAGCTACCGGCATGTTATTTTTATGAAGCATCAAATAAATCTTATTTTATTCCATTCTTTTTCAAGCAATCCGGTATATGAAAATTCTTTGAGAAGTATGATGCAATGAGTACATAGTGAGAAAAACAATAACAAGTTTCTCTCCTCTTTTTTTTTTTTCTTTTCTTTTTTTCCTGCTTCTTTCTTTCCTTGCAAACACAACATTTTCGCATCCTCTTCTCAACTCAGAGTAAATATTCATGCATTAGGCGTCAACTACACGCGTGTTTACGTACGATTCAAAGACTCAAACATATATATATACTATAAAAAGGAAGAAGAAAAACAATACCGATGAATTACTTTTCGATTGGTCAGTTCTTTTTCATAGTTTTGTTATTAGTATTTTACCTTAAGCAAGCCTAAAAGTAATGAGGAAATGACTATGTGTCATATACAGTTTTTGTTACTATATATAAACAATTACACCTTACATATTTTTCTTCTTGATTCGTTTTGTCTTTTTTTTTTTCTTCTTTATTTAAAGATATACAATTAAAAACCTTGACAAGGACGAACAAAAAAAACAGGCTACATGTTAATTTATAGATCTTGCATGTTCTTTCCTATATAATTAGTGTCGATAATAATACAATAACCATCAATCGACATATTTCTAGCAAAATATAAATGAGTAGTTCATGTTCAAGTATATTATAAAAATTCTAAGTTTTTTTTCTTAATCTTCGATTGCTAATCTGATGAGTCTATATATTAAATAGAAAAGAATGTCAAAGCTTTTTATCATGTTGTCTGTTTTACTTCATTCTTAACTTGTTTATAAAGAAACGGAAACGACAAGTGAATTACTTTAAGCTTATTTTAGATTATATGTCAGAACATAAGATTTTCTAACGTCATCATCGACATGGATATTTTTGTATATATATTTAAAGAAAACTTCATTTTTCAGATTAATAAGGATTGGATTCAGTCAAATAAATGAGATTTCAGGAGTATTACTTCCTAATAAGAATTTCTTTTGAAATTTTCATCTAAACATTAAAAAAAAAGTACAAAGAATAGATGTATACATGTAGGTATATCTATATATTATTTTATTTTTAGATATCAAAGAAAATCAAATGGCATGTTGGTTAGAACAGCCAACTTCAAATAAAGAATTTTGTGATGCTATCGACGAAATAATGAAACAGGAACGTGAAGATGTTATTTTACTCGATGATACTCTTTCATCTGGAGCACATTTAGAACTTGATCTTGATTCAATATCCGATTTACTTGAAACTCCATCAACAGCTCCAACTACTACAGCATCAGTTGTGTCACCAATATCCCCCTCATCAACAACAGATTATAGTCAACCAACAAATATTTATGATATGACATCAACATCACATACATCATATCCCATTAATAATAATAATAATAATAATAATAATAATTCACAATCAAATTCAACAACATCATCTTATTCGGTGTTGGGTATAAGTCCAAAATTTACAACATTAAGCATTAATCAACATCATCATCCATTTTCACCATCATCACAAGATTCAAATAGTTCATCAGCATTACTTCAATCGTTTGTTCAATCTCCAGTAACAATTAATTCAAAAAATAGTTTACATCCACCACCATATGTTCAAGAACAACAAAATACATCAATTCTTGGTACATCATATCCATTTGAATTACCAATAAATAATGGTTTATCAGATGTTAAACGTTTTCGTTCATCAAGTATGAATGAAGGGGCAACACAACATCAAACTAAATTAGGTCAATATATTTTTCTTTTCATGTCATCTTTTTTACTTTCATTTACTTTAGATCCTCATCTATTCGATCCATATCGTCTTAAATTACCTTCTTATATACATCCCCCGTATTATCAAAATAGAACATCATCAACAAATATAGCAACAACACCTACTACAACAACAACAACTTCATCAACATCATCACTTTCAAATGATCTATCATCAAATACAGCATGGCCATTCGTTGGTTGTACACGACCAGCATCAAATTCATTTTCAGAAGTATTAAATCAACAACAACTTCGTCTAAATAATAGTTTATCAGCATCTTATGGTGGTTCACCATCATTTTACTCAATTCCTCATTCACGAAATCAAACAGGATTTTTACCAGATGCTAGTTTTCAACCACAACAAACAACCAATTGCACATTATATTCACTTAATCAACCAACAGGTGGTACTACAACTTCTCCTCCTCCTCCATCTGTTCTTGCTCGAAAAAGATCATCTTTAGTTGGCTTTCCCGTTCAAGAAATAAAAGGTAGTTTTAAACAAAAACAAAAAAAGTAAAAATACGAAAATAAAAATAAATTTTTATTCAGATGATCCAAGTAGTCCAACTGGGACAATTGAACAACAAAGTGAACCTGATCTTTGGTCGGATATAGAACAAAATTCTTCTGATCATATGCAAGATGATGATATTGAAGATGATGATATAACCAGTGATGATGACACAACAACAGTATCAAGTACTTATAATAAGGATTCTGATACAAAGTTATCACAATCACATCCAAATGCTTCATCACTTTTTTGGCAATATAATGTTCAAGCTAAAGGACCGAAAACAAAACGAATACTCTATTTAAAAGAACGTGATCCACATCTTTTTCGAGAATTTAGTGATCCAGTTTATCAAATAAAATTAACACAAACAAAAGGTCAAACATTTACTAAACTTCGAAAAGGTGATGGAAATGATGTAACACCAAATCCAGTGAAACTCTATCAACTTGGAAAACAAATACGAGATTTAACAGCATGTGTTGGCAAAACAAATGCGAATACACAATCAGTTTATCATGGAATTTATCATGTTGATCAACAAACAAATAATAATGATACTGCTGAAGTTAAAAAAGAAAAAAATAAAATTGCTAGTCGGTTTGTATTTGACAGGAAAAAATTCTTGTTTCTTTTTTTTAGTTTTTATTATTTGTTATTCAGAGCTTGTCGACTTCGTAAGAAAGCACAACATGAAGCAAATAAACTAAAATTACACGGCTTGAATGAAGAACACAGTAAGTTTCTTATAGACTTCTCTTTTATTTTTCTTCTTTTTTTATTACAATTAAATGAAAACAAAAGAAAAAGAACAAGAAAGCCTCCTGACGACCTTTACATTAAGTAGCTTTTGATCTTCTTTTTCTTTTTTCTTTTCTCTCAGAAGAAATATTATCTTGTTTCCTTTTTTTTTTTCTATATTGGATTATTTTTTTCCTCTTTTTCTTCTTCTTCTTCTTCTTTTTTCCTTTTTTTGGCACATATTCAAAAACAGAACGATAAACTTGGATTCGCGTAGGAACACTTAGCCTATAACTTAGAATTTTCCTTCTGGTCTTGTTATTTATATGAACACTTGATTCAATAAAAAATGTTTAATATCCTGTTTTGAACTATAATTAGAAAGTTATTATGAAAATAAGAGCAGTTTAAAATAATATATATGCTCGAAATGAATAATATGTTGTGTTTTTGTTAAGACTATATAAAATTTGATATATATATATTTTTTAAAAATAGTTCTAAGATATATTTACAAAGCTACTTTTTTTTAAAAATTTATTTAGAAACATTAATTGACTTAATCATATCTATAAAATTACTTATACTCAAACGATATCATAATGGTCAACTTGCTTCTCCATCATCCTCACCAAATCAATCACTTGAAGCTGCATTAGAACAATTGATTGCGAATAAATACAGTACATATTTGATTTGAATTCATCGAAAAAAAAAGGCTAACATTTTTCATTTTGACTATTTTAAGATAAACCAGTTGCTGGCAATACTGATGGTTTTGTTCAAGGAATTATTAACGATATGGAACAGTTGTATGCTTCAAAACAACAACGAAGCAATAGTCTTAATACATAAAGAGAACATAATTGAAAAGAAAAACTATATTGTTTTTTGTTTATTTGGTCCAAAAACAAAAAATACAGTATTCATTTGAGAGATTAATAAACTTTGGACAATTTTTGAATGTTCTCCGGTGACTTGATTACAGTGTGAAAAAAGAAATATTTCTTTTTGTTTTTTGTTTTTTGTTTTATTTTATTTTTTTCTGTGAGTCCGGTGTGTTCTTCGTTAGTGATGATGCTTGCCGGTTAGGTTTTGTCATCGTATTTTTTTCTTTGTGGTTACCTCAACTGAGTTTCTGTTTTTCTTTTTTTTTTGTACAAATCATACTTCTTTTGTTTTTTGTGTTCTACAATCATCGTTCCTTAAACGTCTATCATTTGTCTTATATCTCTCTGTTTTGTAAATTACTTTTGACTCTGTACAGAAAAACAAACGATCGGTATATCGTATGCGTGTGTGTGTGCCAACATGACATCGTGTTTGTTTTTTTCTTTTTTTTTCACAATTACACATTCGTTTCGTTTGTTTTTTTTCTTTTTCTTCTTCTTCTTCTAATCATTCAGTGTGTTTATAACAAAGAAAAAAAAGAGCGGTGATTTACAGCGGATATCAAAATTAATAATTGAGTAGAAGGATTTGTTCGTTTATTTACATATTTAATCTAGCTTCGAAAAAAAAAAACAAATTCAAATATTTCTATTTGGACCTTGTGTATATAAAAAGTTTAAATTTGTATAGTTTTTATTCAAAAAAAAAAAAAAATATGATATTTTTCTTTATGGATTAAATTGATTGAAAGAATAAAAAAAAAATGACAAACTTTGAGTTGTTTTTTCAATAATTAAATGTGATCAAACGTCTATGTATTATTACAATAAAAAGAAATATTTTTGAATCATATAGCAATCCTTTGCTTACAACAAATGAATAATCTAAAACTTCTTCATTATTAATTGGCAGAACACATGTATATTATTATCTTGTTTTCTATTATGCACTTAGAGTTTATTCTCTGTAAAAATGTCCTTATGATAAGATTATTGTCAATCTTTTACAATAAAAAAAAAAAAAGAAAATATATCGAAAGTAATAAAGGTAGTGCATATTGCGATTTTCATCATATTTTATAAAGATGAAGATTCGGCGAAAAAAGAATATAGTGAAGATAAGGTTGTATGTTACATAGATATTTTTAGAAAATAATGAAAAATGTGGAATTCAGCTTGGCAACACAAAAATACATGCATTGGGTATAATAACCTAGGGTGCAAAGGCAATTTCAAAAAGTAACATAGTAAATTTTTAAAAAGACAAAGTTAATTAAAAGAAAGTCAATTTAATATTTTAGAGATTGTCCGAAGCGTCCAATCGAAAAAAAAACCCTATAAATAGCAGTGTCAACGAGTTACACAACTTTTTTTTCTTTTACTCTGTACTCTTATATTCATTAAAGTTTTATCACAGATAAAATATCTTCATCTATAAAAAGTGACAATTCAAATAATTTTAATCATGAGAAAATTTAAAACCGGCTACCCGTATAAAATTTACAAGTCTAGTGTAGAAAAAAAAGCACATTACTTGAACATTGTATTTTCGAAGTTTATTCTAACTTTTTTTGTTTTCAAACTGCTACTCAAGAGAAAGTCAAGAAAAATGAGACAGGATTGAGTATTTGATGTATATAATTTGTTGTCGTAAAGCTGTTAAATAAATTGTATTTCATATTGTTTTAATACGAGAAATATTTCATTATAATTCAATGGATTGTTACTCATGGCATTGAATAGGCTTATCTAATAGACATGAGACTAGACCTTGACTTATTTTTACAATTATTAATTTATTCTAGATGTTTTAAAACGCGATTGATTTTTAACAGTACCATTTCCACAAAATCACGGAAATATTGTTCTACTGAATCTTCAAGTGATTTGTATTTTTATTCCAAGTTCGACTAGTAATTTTTGTTTAACAATGATGACTAAATCGAATTTGATTATGAGTATGAGAACAAACAGTAACAAAAATAGTGTAACACGTTTGAATTGCTATTCATGACTTTTTTCAAACGAACTTTTGGGACATTGTTTATATATATTCTATGTTATTTAAAGATTATAACGAAAATAACATTATCGCAAAACTATTCTCTTATATGAATAAATTAAATAGATATTTTATAAAAACATAAACTTAATTTTATGTAAAATAGACTTGAATACATTATTTACGCATGATTTTTTTCCACTATCAATCAAAATCATAATCATGCGTGAAATTTATAATATTAAATACAAATATTCATAGCTTGCGCATAGTGTTATATAGTTATCTATTCACTTATCTAAGTTGCCTTTTTTTTTTTCTTCCAACATCAAAAATATATACGTCCTGCGTATGTAGTGTAGATTTATCAATCTTTTTTCTGCAGAATGAAGGACCTTTTAATGTCCTTATCTTCGTGAATGTTATTTTTAAAATTATGATATCTATGAGAACTTATGTATGCACTCAAATAACAACAATATTTGATGATCCTTAACTAAGGATGTATTGTAACAGCTGGTATTAAGTACAATCATGATGATTAATACTTAAGTAGTTCACTAAGTCTGTATGTTAATTAATATCTACAGATGGAAAATAATTCTCATTGTTGTAAAAAAAAACGTACTATTATAAATGTCATGGATATATATAGATATATATATTTCTATTATTTGTCTTGCCAATAGATTATATTTCGAGACAATCATGCATATAAGAATACTACGTCGATATAAAGCTATCTATTTTCAAATGCCATCAAGTACCAAAATACATTAATCGTATGGCAATGCTCTAATTATTTGTATATCGAAGAATAGCTCTCATACATATAGCTTCATCATTAAAATAGTGATACGATCAATATTTATGAAATAAATTATTTAGGTAATGTTAAGCATAATTATTGAATATATAAAATTGTACAAAAAAAAATGAATATTAATCATACAATTTGTATTTTCCATATATAGATTTGTTTATACATGCAGTATAATCAGAACCTAACGATATATAATTATATATATATATATAGTGAGTACGAATATTAATTAACAAGATTTATTTTCAATTTTTGTTTTCGATGCTGTAAGCGCTAGAAAGAATCCAAACGTTGATTTGAGACAAGAAAAATGTTTCCAACAGAAATATTAGGAAATAAAAAATTTTCTCAGATTATCAAAGATGAAGACACCAGAAAATCGAAAGACAAGTTTTTTTTTGCACCTAGAACGAGTAAATATCATTTTGTTTAGACTACATACAACGATAGAGGAAACAATTATTTAGAAAATGAGATATCTTCGAGTTTTCTGCATTCTTTGTTCGCTACGATTTAGCAATTTGATGAAAGGTCAAAAAGTAGTTTTTCTCTAGGATATTGATAATAAAATGACTTTAAGAGTTATCGTAATATTGTTGTATTTGAACTAAAAAGCGTTACTGCGAACTTTGAAACGTCTCTTTTTATAGAGTACTGTTTGCTCTATTGTTCTTTATGTTCTAAACAGAACTATATTTATCCATTCTAGGTGTTGAAAAACTAGAGTTTGTAGTTTTCTGAAGCGTCTAGTTTTGAACATCTGATAATAATTTATAGTTTCTGGTATTCTTTTTGAAAACAGCTTACTCTACTCGAAATCTTTCTAGCGCTTAAGACAGCAAAAGACGGTGAACATACACTCTATTGAATACACTCGATATTCACTATATATATATATAAATACTCTCTTTCTCACTACTTTATGTAAATGAAAATACTGTTTCATTTGTTTGTTCTGCGTTATAATTGTCAACTTCTTGATATTTTGGTGGTTCTATTCCATCCATTGTTTTTGATTGAAGTAATTTAAGGCATGCCTCATCTTGCATTTGTCCAGCAAACATAATTGCAGTAAAACCATCGTCATTAGCTATATTAGGATCAGCACCATGTTCAATTAATGCTTGTATAACAGGCATCTTATCACCAAAACCTTGAATAGCTAGATGTAATGCTGTATTATTTGCATGATCACATGCATTGATATTAGCACCAGCATCAATTAAAATATTACACATATTAATATAACCAAGTTCTGAAGCTAACATTAATGGACTAATGCCTGTTTCTGGATTGGGTGCATTTATATCAACTCCACGTTCAATTAGTTTTCGAAGAAGAACTTCGTTTTGAAAACGGACTAAATAATAAATAAAAATAAAAAATAAAAAAAAAGAAATGATTTTGGTTTTTTTATATACTAGAACAAAGTAATGGTGTTTCATGAAATGATGGTGTTTGTGTTACATCAATACGAGATATAGTATCAGCTTGATAACGTACTTCATATAATGGATCTGATCCAGCAGAAAGTAAAAGATCAGTTAATATGGGCATTTTAGAATTTTCTTCAGAACGTAGTTTAGCCAAAATCACAAGTGGATGATTACCATCAAATGCATTTGCAATATTTGGATCACTACCAAGCTCAAGTAAAGTTTTAACAACATCTACTTCACCTAACTCAATAGCCAAACCTAATAATTAAACAAAAACAAAGAAAGGAAAAGAAAACCATTAAAATAATTATCTATAACTATCATACCTAATGCAGTATTGCCGTCTGCATCAATTGCTTGCTGTATTAATCTTGGTCTTTCATCAGCCAATTGTCGTATCCTTGGTATATTTCCATTAAGGATAGCCTCACGAAATGATGTCATTTTATAAGGAATAAGATATGAAAATAATACTTTAGCAGAATGAAATGCTAATCGCCAAGACATTTCAGTTTTTTTTTTTCGTTCTAATTACAATATCAATTGAAAAGCTATATAGACACCTGGTTAAATTACTTTCGTTATTCTCTTTTTATGTTGTACTTGACTGCGCATAGGTATATATACATGCATATATATATATATATACATGAATGCATTTTTCATATGACGTTTCGGATACGGGTGATCTACTCCATAGTTTTCTTCTTACCGATTCTTTTCTTCCGTTCTTTCTTTTATTGACTATTCCCGTTTTTTTTAAACAATCATATACATACATAAGCAAAAACAACAAGTAAACATAAAGGAAGAATATATTTGCAATCGATCATGTTATTTATATACAAAGAAAAAAAAACCAAAGAATGTAATCATCGATTTCTCTTACAGAATTTACACTCATCTTCAATGTAGAACATCCAGGAGCAAAAAAAAAGATGAAATAAGCGAGTGAAATGTACAGCAAACATGGGTTTTTGTATACTATATATACCAGTCGACTTCAACTTAGAGCAGTTTTAGTTTTTCTCTCGATAGTAACAAGCAGAAAGAATTTTGAAAAAAATATTTTGAGCAACTAAAAGGATTCTCTATCAAGGTTTGTGAATTTAAAAACTCCTATAGAACTGTTTGGATGACGGTTTTCTGAAAAATGGCTTTATTTGATAGAACAAAATGAGATGTCTTCAATCTCTCAGTAACCTTCTATCATTGAACTGCATTCAATTTACAAAAATTCCAAGCAGCATGTTTTTCTTTTTTTATTGAAAACAGCTTCTTACTGCAGCCCTTTCGGGACTAAAATGTAGAACTTATGTGTCTTTTTTAGCTCCATTAGACTAATACATTCACAAATGTATTCAAATGATTTAAATTTTGACAAGGCTTTAAGATATTTTAGACGTTTGGGAAAGGATTTTGACATTGGTTGTCCACAGTTTCTTAAGTCAGTAATTGAAGGACGAAGTTGCTTAAGTCTGTCATAGAGAGGGAGAGTCGCTAAAATCTCGATTCAAACTTCCATTCATTATATTTTCTTGGGATATATATGAGTTCTAGAAAATTTCAATGATTTTCACGTTTTGGAACTTTCTATAAATAGAATTTAATTCGAAGAAGGAATCTGATAGAGAGATTTGAAACATTTCCTTTTGCTCTATCAAATAAAATCCTTTCCAAAAATTTTCAAATAAATATTCTGAAAATTCACATCCTAGCAGTTTCATAAAAGTTTTTTATTCAAATTCTTTCTAGCAATTACCATCGAGAAGAAAAAAGAAAGAAAAATACAACTGCTTCAAAATTGTGATCGTCATTATATTTATAACAGTTTATTGGTTCCATAAACCTGATTGACGAATAGTTTGTTGAAGAAGAAATTGTGCTTGTTGAATTTGATTTGGATTACCCGTTATTGTTATTAATCGATCATTAGTACCATTCATTGGTTCAGAATCAATTTTAATTGAAGCGCCTGATTCATGACGAATTTGAGATATTTTCGAACCTTTACTACCAATAACAATACCTTTATAACAATATTAAAAAAGAAAACTGATTAATGCACAAATTAAAGAATACAAATTAAAAATTTTACCAGCCATTTCCGTTGGAATAGTTACTTGTGTTGTTGTTACTGGTTCAGTTTGTTGATATGTATTATAACCACTAGTACGATTTCGATTTCTACTATAGCCATCATCTAAATATGCTCCATCATATGGTGGATAACCTTGTGATGGTGAAGCATAACTAAATATTTAAAAAAACAAAAAAATCGTAAACGAGAAGAAGAAATATTTTCTTAACATACGAATTATTAGCATATCCACCAGCATTATTTACTCTTGAATTAAATTGATTATTACCCATTGAACTATCTGAATAACCACCATAATCTGTAACATTATGACCATTATATGTTGATGGATCATAATAACGATATGAACCACGCGGTGGAACATTTTCAAGTACACTATAAACTTCAGTTAAACATCTTAAAACATCATCTTTATTGCCACGCATTGAAATACCTTATAAAGAACAAAGATTTTATGATTAAAAATTATTAGTATCTTTTTTACATCGTTCTGTTGATCCTCCAGGACAACATTGAGGATAGACTTTAACATCAATATTATCTAAATTAATAAAGCCGATATTAGACTTTACTGATTATTGATTAACACGAAAAACATATTCTACCTGTCCTTTGAACTCACGTTTCTCTCGAAATTCTTTGATTCTTGATGCTCCTTTGCCTAGAAAAATAAAAATTGTTTATTAAAACGATAATTTCAAAAAAATATATATATTTTTGCTTTCTTACCAATCAATGCTCCTGCTTGTGATTGATGAATAAGAGCACGTATTTCATTTTGATCAGGTTTATTTGAACGTTGATGATTTTCCGAAATACATAAAAGTATACTTGATATACAATTAAGTACATCATTTTGATCACCATTAATAATTAAAACACGTTCAGGTACTTCACAATCAGCCATTTGTATTTGACATTGATGTTTTAAACGAAGATCTTGAATAATTTTTCCACCTTTACCAATAATTGCTTGAAAATATATGATGGAAAATAAAACGTTTTATTTAATTTAAAGTAAAAAAAAAAAAAAGATTTTTTTGTTTTTTTTTTTTCTAACCTCCAGCATCACGAGATGGAATTAAAAAACGATAATCCATTTTTCCATCACGCATTGAACGATTTTGTCTTCCATCTTGATGTTGTGTTCGTTTTGAATTCATTGAGTTATACTCAATATTTTCATTCATATTTGTTATTTTTATTATTTATCTTTTAACAATTAAAATACATATGCAGACACGTTCTCGTAATCACTTCTTTTATCTATAGTAATAAAAGATTTATCTAAAAAATCAATTTGAAAGGTTAATAAATCAAATTTTTTTATTCGTCTATAAGTAAATCCAACTATAAATAAAATAATTATTTAATAAATAAACAAAAAATTTTCATCCATTCATCCATTGGCAAAGCTTATTAATGCTCACATGTATATCGAATAATATCTTATTGTTTTATTGACAGATTCATTGTTATGATAGATGTCGCTTTCTGATGGAATTAGATATAAAATAAGTACGTATATTCGTATGATTGAAGCTGGACAAACTTCCTGTTAATCGATTGTACAACTGACGAGTTTACTATTGATTATTTGTAGTTATACCTTTTGACAATATGAATTCGAAAAGCGAGACTTCAGCTTGTACTATATTTATTAGTATATATCAAATTTTCTAAAAATAGAATGGAAGTTAATCAAATAAATATGCCATTAGAAATGGTATTTTCTATTGTGACATAACTGTTAAAAGTGATAGGATTATTCTGTCATGTTTATTGTATGATATATTAGAACATTTTTCAATTTTATCAATATGATTTTATTTTAACTCAGCATCGTCTTTCTTTTGTATAGGAAATAATATTCAAAACTTTGGCGTTGAGTTCTTTACGAATATGATCAGTGTTTATATTTTAAAAGTAATAGTGATGTTGATATTGTCTTATAGCTGATTTATTTCAATCAGAAATATGTACTATTGTTGTAGCACTCGATGTTTACGATGAGATCATAACAATATCCATCAAAGATGTACTTTTGATAATATTCCAACAAACGAAAACCGAATAGGAACAATTTAAGATGAGCTTAAGTGGATTATGAATTTAATTAAATCCGATAAATCAAATCACATTGCTATGATATTCACTAATCTACAAAAAGATATCTTATGTGTATCTCTACAATGAAGTTTTAGATTTATGTTCATTAATGAAACGAAACCATTTTACTATCAAATTAACTTGGAAAATAAAACAAAACAGAATGAGTATTTTTATATCTATCAATAATGCTTAATAGTCAAGGATAAAGAAATGAAATAGCATTGAATAATTTTTTTGTTTTTTGAAGTTTGTTTTTAATAGTAAAACTAATCCCAAAGACCAAAAAAAAAAGGAAATTGAAGTACTGTGTTGAAGTTCTACACATTCCAATGATTATTTTGATCACCCCATGGCAAAAATCAATATGCTTACTTTTTTTTCTCCATTTTTCAGAACTATGTTTACTCTTAAGTCTATTGACATATAAATTTTTGAATTCGCACTTGTATTTTGTTGCTTCTCAAACAAATGCTATTCAAACAACCGACACATACAAACTAATTTGATATCATTTAGAATGGCAGATTTTATCCAATTCATTTATGATTTGCCAGGATTTTCCATAATGTTGCATACTTGATTTATTTCGATTTTTCGGCTTTGGACATCTTGTTTTCTTAATAATGTCCTTTATTTTTACTTTCATATTGGTGCAGTGGCTGTTTAGCAGATCAACATCAAAACATAGAGAATGTATTTTCAATTCTTAAAACTTCGCGTTCAAATTAGAATTTATGTAATCACTTAAATATTTAATTAAATACACAAAACTATCGTTAGTAAAAAGTATTTGTATAAGTGAGATCTAAACTTATGATTTCATATGATTTTTATAAAACTTTTTTTCATCTGTGATGATTCATTTGACCATTATGTATTCCGCTTCAATGATACAACAGCAAAAATATTTTCTTTCATTCATTTTTTTTTTTTTTTTTTTTTTCTCTTATGATAAATAATTATTTGATAGACATATTCATTGATGTATTAATATAACAAATCAGTCAGCCGTAAATTTCTTATTTAAAAACAAAAAATAAGAAAAGTCATCTACTTCAATCCTATATCAGGTCATCGTTTTTAACATATATATGATTCTTATCATCGATTAGATGAATCATTTTAATATATATATTTGAATTACTCTTTCTGTTCGAAGTATATTAGTAATGCAACTATACTGCGAAGTATAGCTATTTAGAAAGAAAGAAAAAGACTGTTTTTTCGTAAAAAATTCATTTTGATTATTCATTTTTTATTGCGTTTTTATCTCACTATTTACCTAGAAAACACAATAAACGAATATGAATCAGAAATTATTGTTATTGTTGCCAACAGGCTCTTGCCAATGAAATTATATGCAATGAATATCATACATCACTTTCAACAAAATTTAACAGACGTTCGGTTTTTTTCTCTGTTTCTTTTTTAATTTGCTTTTGTGTATAGCTCAATATGATTACAAATGCGTTTTTCAACTTCAAAACCTTGTGACAACAACACCTAGTGCACGATTCTCTACTTGCTATTCACCACAGGCTTTCGTATGTGCATACACCACCAAATGTCGAAGCCACCAAACAAACAATTTGTGAAACCTCATGATCTTGATCTCGCTATATATATACTGCATCAGGAACTTTGTAGTCATCCTCTCACCACACTCAGACTTAGACATAGTTCTCATGAAGTAAAGTTGATAATAGTTAGCCAGAGTTCTAGTAGTTTATATGAAAAGATCTTTTATTTGCATAAACTAGAGGTTCAAACAAGTGTATTTTTCATAGATCTAGCTGGCTTATAGCGATTTGTGACCTTATTCCGTTTGCTTCCCATGTATTTTTTCGACATTAACTGTTGCGACTTGAAGGTATCTTACATGATGATATCATGATGATGTGGGGGTGGATGTTTTCTTTACACCCACATTATATATATATATCTTAATATAAGTAAGATTTTATTTACGAAGATGAGCGTAAAATATAGAGAATTTTGAAACGTGTCGATAGGCATCCTATAACTCCTTAGTATACATTTTCTAGCTTAAAATCAAGATTTTCTAGACATTTTTTTGCTTTTTTAATCATTTCCACAACATTTATGATCCTATAATACCACATTCGTAGTAGTAGGACCCTAAATGTTGTGGAAACATAGAAAAGAAGGATGAACTTTTTTTAGTTGGACACTGCTGTAAAATTGGTTTTTGATCTCAACTTTTTGTTTGATCTAAATTTAGACTACTTGAAACTTGGATCTTATAGTAGCTTGATTCTTAAATTAGATGCCGATGTAATGGAATATTCCACATGATGAAAGAAATATGCTAAAGAACGAAAAAAATATATCCAGTGTAAATAAGCTGAAATATAACGACAGAGAACTACCGACATATGCCAAAAATAGTGATAAGAAAAATGATGAAACTTATGTGTCATGACAACATACATATAATATAAAGAATAGCTTACTATTTATTCAGGAGGTTTTAGAAAACTAATAGCAAGTATTATTAATATGTTTCTATGTGATACGTATAGAGTAAGTATAATATGGAATTTTCAAGATACATTTATTATTCTCACAAAACGTCTATGCTAATGAAAGAAAAATATCATCCTTATCAAAAGCTATGTTATTAATTTATTTAACTATAAAGACGCATAGATTTACAGCACTACTGATGTATTATTAAGGTTTACTAGTATATAAGTAAAATCTTCGTACATCGACGGTATCTTTAAAAAAAAATGCGCATGTTAGTAAAGATCAATTTTCATTTTGATTACTTTAGATTACTTGTTTTTATGTATAAAATGACACTTAACTACGCGATAGTAATATATTTAGTTGATGAGATGATTCATTCCATAGCATACACATGAAACGGACCATGAAATAGAAAAACATGTAGGCCACAAAGTGTATTTATATACATATTTTGGAGAAGAGAAAAACAGCGGCAAAAGGTGGAGAAAATGATTAAAAAAAAATTATTAATAATTTAAACTGTATCGCTCTACTGAGTTCGGTAATATTCTATAATATATTTCTTATTGTTTCGATGTTGATCATACGAATCTGGAATGTATATTGGTATGCTCGGTGAATATTGTTTTTTTGTTTACAGGTTTCTTTTTTGATAGCAATTCTTTCTGTTTAACTGATAAGAAAATTAGTCTGATAGTGGAAGGTATTGTTTGTTTTTTTTTGTTCGAAATATATGCAAAACAATTTTATTCAATGTAAAAAGAAAAAAACAATCATTTAATAGTCTTTTGATAAAGTTTACTAAGAATATTTATTTTTTCATTGTTGAGTGTCTCGAAAACAATCAAAACCTTTTAAAAAGTCCTTGGAGCATCTGTATTTTGATATTTTTGAAAATAAAGAAAAGAAAAAGTAAAATATTTGAGACGGTCGATTAAGCATGTAAATACTTTATAGATATTGAGTTGTCATTTATTGGTCTAGTATTGTTAAGTAATACGACAAAAAAAAATAAGAAGAAAACAAATGTTTTTTTTTGTTGTAAATGAGCTGTACGTTATGGATAATAATCATCCAATGATGAAGGCCATTTATATCATCAGTAGTCTTTATTTTTTTACTTGTATTTTCTTTTTTTTTGCTTTTCGTTTTATGCACATCTATTACAGTTACTATTTTATGGTTACATGCTTCTTTTCTTTTTTCTATTAATATGATTTCACATTTTTCCTCGTCCGTATGCTTGTCTGACTGCTTGTGCAGCTGAGAACACGAAAAAAGCAAATACACGCCGTCGTTTAAGTTTGCGAAGGATAAAAAAAAACCGCATGTTTGCTTCATTCGTAGGAAAGCAAAGAACGTTGATGATTGTGTCCCTGAAAACACAACACATATGAATACTCTTATACGTAGTTGAGAATAAGAATAACAACTACAAGTAAGTAGAAGAACGTCTTTGTTCTATATAAGTCAAAAAAAAAGCATCTTGGAATTGGCACACGTCAATTATTAATCATCCACAGTAGATAAACGACAAAAGAAAAAGATCATTTTTTTT